CTAGAGGATCCCCGCAGACATACCAAATGCGCCGTCCTCTCAATCCCTGTCCTCCTCTTCTCATTCAACCATCTCACCACCATCTCGGATGGTTCTCTCCCCCTCCCCTCCTCTATAGATAGAATATATTGATTTTTGGGAATTTTTTTTCTTCTATTTTTGATTTAAAATTTCCAAAATTTCGATTAGGCTACGACCGCCTTCTGCATGGCCATCTAGCCGATATTCTATTTTTATTTTTTCTGAAATTCTTTACATATTTTATTGGATTCTTGGAAAAGTGAGTTTTTATGAATTTTTTTTTAATTGAAAATGTGTTATTTTCAAGCCTAGAATTGTCAAAATATCCAAATTCGAAAATGTGCCAAAAGTGGTCAAAGTCTGTTTAACCCTATGTTTTAGCTGATTTTAAAGTGCATTTTTAGATTTCTCATGAAATTTCTGATATTTTGAGCCCAAACTCGACTAACTTTGGTTGATTTTTAAATTTGACCAAACCGACCGCGACGCGTCGCGGTCAAAAACGAAAGTTGACCGAATTAGGTCGTGTTGGGGTTCAAAACGCGGCAAATTTCATAAAAAGTTCAAAAAGAACAGTTTTAGGCGGTTCGAGTGGCCATTTTTTGAAGAAAATGATTTTTTTTCATTTTGGATTTTGGCGCTAAAAACCATAAATGCCCAAATCCGGCTAAAATCGGGTCAAAATTAGTGGAACTTAGGTTTTTCAAAATCTTTATCTAATTTCTGACATGTTTTACTCCATAATGCTTATAATTGGCCGATTTTGAACTTCGACCGCGGTCGAAACGGTCGATAATAAGAATCCACCAAATATAGGCAATATGGGGTTCAAAATGTCGAAAATTTTATAAAGAATCCAAAAATGTCATGTCCTCTCTTTTCAGTGATTTTGAATTCACAAGCATGACCCGCAAAACTGCCACAACTTCTGGAAAATTGCCATGGAAGCAAAAACGAGTACGTCAAATGAACCAAGATGTTATCCCCAAATCGCACAGAAGTCCGGGAAAAGATTTTTTTCAAATATACCAAGTGAGGATGAGATTCAGAAGGCGATGGAAGAAGTTTCAACGACGACAATGGAGGTTTTAAACGAGGTGGGTTCTTGGCTATTTTCTGAGAACAAAATTCCTCTAGAACACCTAAAAATCACTGAAAAGAAGAAAATTTGACCAGCGGTGGGGTTCGAACCCCTGACCTCTAGATCGGCAGTCACCCCTCTACCCAGTTGAGCCAAAGTTGCGAAAATCGGTAAATAGGTCATTTCGATGTGGAATTCTGTGTAGAGTTTGGAAATTGTTTTTAAACTTCAAAAAATAATTTTTTCAAAAATTTAAATTGTTGAAAAACATTTTTTTCGCAAATTTATAAACAAAAAAATATGTTTTAAATATAATATGAATATGTCTTAAAGGAGGCCAGACACCAAAAAAAAAAGTTTCCCTGATATTTTGCATAGAGAACCCCCATGAGGGGTTGAACTCATGACAGGCAGCTCAGGGGTACAGCGCCGCTACCGGCTGAGCTACGAAGGCGCGAAGGCACCTGACGACCGATGGTCTACATAAGCGCGGCGCGATTTCGTCCCCCGAACTGTCCCCCGAAATTTTTGCTGTCTTGCCTCCTTTAAAATGATTCTTTGAGATTCACACAAACATAAAAATTGCTTTCAATAAAAAAAAATTTTTTTTGGCTTTAAAAACAATTTTCAGATTCCACACAAAATTCCACATCGAATGACCTATTTACCGGTTTTCACAATTTTGTCTCAACTGGGTAGAGGGGTGACTGAGGATCTAGAGGTCAGGGGTTCGAACCCCACCGCTGGTCAAAGAGATGGAGAATTGACTGATAAGTCACGAATCCAGCTCAAGGACAACCAAGAACCGCTATACCACGTCGATACAGGAGCAGTGAATGATATTTGGGTATGTTTAAAATACTCTCTGAGAACATCTCTAAATTTTCAATTTCAGTACTTTATACAAAATCATCAAGTCAACAGCGAAGATATCCGTCCTCTCAACATTCTGCATCACTCTTTTCTTGGAGAAATTAACTCGGATGACTTCTCACTTTCACCAGCAAGGTGAGAGAAATATGCCCTGCGAGAAAAGCCACTTTATGATCTGTAACTCTGTTCATAGATAAGATACAGTATTCCAAATAATACCGTTTTGTAGTAATCGTTGAGCTCTATCATATCTGATTTAGTTGGTTTGAAAATATCGATTCTGAAAGAAATTATGGCAGGTCCCGCGAAGGCCCGGATTACAACTATGCTAAGTATCCTCTTCTGTAACGCGTTTGGTGACACAACAGGCGGGCGGTTGGTGTTGGATGGAGTCATCCACGTCCTTATTCCTCGTTTCTCTACTTTCTAGAAAAGAACACCCTCTCTTTTGTCTATATTATCTGCGTCTCTTACTCGCACTCATCAGATGTCTATATAAACTCCTCAGCACATAGAAATAACCCCCCCCCCCTTGTCGCGGCTATAATATGGTCGGTGGAACCATAGTCGTGACTGTTATGCACGGAAGACGGAAGACGGAAGACGAAGTACCTTAGATTCGAATTTTTGCATCGGTTCTGCAGTTAGACGAATCCGCCAAAAGAATTTTCCAAAATTTCACTGAAAATTCGACGAATCCTGAAAAATTCTAGTCTTCCGTTTGTTGTGATTTTTCCGGACTTTACAGAAGACGGAAGACGGAAGCCGGAAGACGGAATTCCGCTCAACACTGGTGTCTATCAGTGATGGGTGGAATTTCCGTTTCCGTTTTCCGTTTTCGGTTTTCCGCCCGGTTTTTATAGATTTTTTTCCGTTTCCGTTACCGTTTCCGTTTTCCGGAGAAACCTCCATTTTTTTACAGCGGAAACGGAAAAAAAATGTAAAAAACAACGAAACCATCAAATTAAAACTAGATTGAAAAAAAGCATGGAAAGTGATGAAAATAAGGTCTTTAAACGTTAAAAAGTGTATATTTTTATGTTTGAAGGGAAAAAAATCCTGAAAAATAGTCGAGGAAAACGAAAATTTCCGTTCCCGTTTTAGTTTTCCGTTTTCCGCGCGATTTTTTTCCGTTTCCGCGGAAAAAATTTACGATTCCGTTTCCGTTTTCCGTATTTCGGAAAAATGCGTTTCCTCCCATCACTGGTGTCTATATAACAGATATTTTGCCTAGTTCTCCTGAGATTTTTGGTCCAAAACTCACTCTTTTGTGTTAGATGGCAAGCCACCTAACACAGTCTTAGAGAGTATTGAAAAAGAGGAGAGTGGTTAGAGTAAACGAGGACGAGGACACTCGTAGGGCTGTCTGGTAGAGAACCAGGTGTCACGGACGGCCAGGCAAAAGACAGGGAGTGTTGAAAAGCGAGAGACGCAGCGTAAAATGCCCCTCTCCTGTCCTCCTCCTCTCAGACAACCCTCGAAATACCATCTCAGATGGTTGTCTCACCCTCCAACAAATAGAATATATCGATTGTTTGGGATTTTCCAAAATTTCGACTTGGCTACGACTGCCTTGTGCATGGCGATCTAGTTGATATTCTATTTTTAATTTTTCTGAATATTCTCTGTTTATTTTATTGTATTCTATGAATTCTAAGCGGATTCTGGACCCCAAAAAGTGAGTTTTTCTAGCCCTTTTTAAATTTAGAATGTAGGATTTTAAATCTTTTTTTTTTGTCTTGAAGATTCACTTGAAAAATCTCGTTACCCACAGATTTTGATTGAATTTAAAGTTTATAATCAAATTCCTCATAAAATTTCCGACATTTTGAGCCCAAACTCGACTATTTTTCGTTGATTGTTACTTTTCGATGGGCAGACCGCGACGCGCCTAAACGCGTCGCGGTCGAAAATCAGAGTTGACCAAAATAGGTCGTGTTGGGGCTCAAAATGTTGGAAATTTGATGAGAAATTCAAAAATAGCAATTTCCACTATTTTTAACCTGATTTGGGCCAAATTTGGGCATTTCTGATTTCTGGCTCCAAAAATCCAAATTTCAAAAAACATTTCAATTTTTCTCGCAAAAACATTTCAATTTTTCTCTGCCTGGATTTAGTATTTTTGAGTTTCTCATGAAATTTCCAACATTTTGAGCCCCATATCGCTTATGTTTAGTCAATTTTGATTTTCGACCGCTTCGACCGCAGCCATGTGGTCGAAAGTCAAAATAGTCCAATTGTAGTCAACGTTGGGCTCAAAATCTTAAAAATTCAATAAAAAGTTCAAAAATAGCAACATCTGTTTTCAACCCAAATTTTGGCGAAAATCGTGCATTTATGTTTCTGAGAAAATTGTGTTTTTCAGAAACACTCGGATTTAATGGTAACAGTAATGATGACAGTAACCTTTCGAGAAATTAGATTAATTTCTGAAAAACGACTTTCAGCAAACTTCAACGCAAGCGTCATGAATGGAATCGACCAAGATGTATTCAAAGCATACAATGTGTTCCAAAACGAGGAATTGACTCGGACACTGGGAGACTGTCAGACGTTTTCTGAAGACCAGGTTGGAATATCATAAGAACCTCCCGAAGGATGCGATTTACGAGAAGAACATCAAGTTTTCCGAACTTCTCCTACATGTGACGTCTAGTGTGCTCAATTTTGATGTTTTCGCATACTACCAAGTCCCTCCAGGGTCAGGATCTTCGGATGATGATGCCAGCCTTGATGTGATCTTCATCCGACATCTGTTCCATCAGTTTGCTAAAAAATTATTTTCTACCTTACCGATGTTTCGTATTTCTGATTCCTGGAACTTCTTTTTTGTGTCCCCCGCTCACTCGTTGTTTTCAAAAACCGTTTCATATAATATTAACTTGCTACCAGTAAAGATTTATAGATTTTACGAAATGTGCCAAAGTTCATTCAGTGTTTTTTCGGAAAATCGTTCGAAAAGTTTCGAGAAATGTGTGTGTGTGTGTGTGTCTGGAACCATTATTTTTGAGTTTCTCAAGCAATTTCCGTCATTTTGAGTCCCATTTTGCCTATATTTGGTCAGTTTTGATTTTCGACCGTTTCGACCACCGAATTTGGTCGAAATTCAAAACTGACAAAACAATGGCAATATGGGGCTCAAAATGACGGAAATTTGATAAAGACATCAAAAGTAATCGTTTCTGTTTCTGAAAAAAAAAGTTTAGTTATTCCAGAAAATCCCGGAAAAATAGACAATGAAACTCTTCTAGAGCAGCTCAAAAAGTTTTTGGCTTTTGATTGAAGTTTTATTGTTTATTCGGAACTTTTTCAAGGATGCTGAAATAAATCATTAATTTGTAAATAATCATTTATTTGTCAATCATTAATTTGTTCCAATTAATTTTGCATTTTGCATTTTGGAAAGTTTGAAATTACAAATTTTGAATTCTCCAAACATTCTCTGTTATCTTTAAGTGAATACCAGCATTTTTTTCCAAAAATCTGAAAATTATAAATCTTTTTCGAAGTGAAAATGTTTCAAGTTTCAGGATTCTAGGTGCTGGAATTAGACTTGAATTGCTGAAACTGAAAATCAATAGACCTTATTTTCATTTCTTTCTTTGTCAGATACGTTGTGAGTAATCGAAAATATTACTTTCTTATCAGTAGAAATTTTCATTGCTAGCTCTTAAATTGTTTGTCTCTTCTTTTTAACTGATACTCTCTATGATACAGTCTTGCTACGCTTTAAATTGATTTGAACAGTCAGTTTTGCTCTTTTTCGCCCATTTTTTCTCCGTTTCCAATTTTTCTCAATGGAACAATTAATTTTTCAGATGACTGAAAGAGAATTCACTCTGAAACATGTATTCAATGATGTCGGTAAACTGGAAAATTATCAAGATCTCTATAGTCCAGAAGAAGAACATTTTGGGGTCGATTGGTAAGTCTTTTCGCTCATTTTTCTGATTCCAAGAACTTAATTTCAGGAGTATTAACATGGATAGATATGATAACCATCTCGGGATTTTTTTAATCCCAAATGACACTAAAAACCAAGAAATTGGCGTTGATTGTAGCATGAAAATTGTTTCAAAAAACAAGGAAAAGACTTGTTCAATGTCTATTAGTTGTGTGTTTGGCTCTCGGGACTATCGGGGTTTTCGAAGATTTATTGACTGGGGAACTCTGGAAAATGAATACTTGGATGACGGAAAACTGGAAGTGGAGGTTCATGTGAAGATAACAAAAACAATGGAGATTCCGGAAGAAATTATCGGATTTCCCAGAAAAGATTTAAGAAGTTTTGGAGAGGATATGGAACAGGTCTACGATGTTATATTAAAATCAACGAGCACAAATTCTATGTTCTAAAGTTGGTAAGTTTTTTTTTTAAATTTTTAATTTTTAATCTATTCGTTTTTTTTCAGTACCTCTCTGCTCATTCTCCTTATTTCAACACTCTATTCCTTGGAAAATTTCAAGAAGCTGAAAAATCAGAAATCGAATTGAAAGATGTCGATCCTCAAGACTTCCAATACTATCTGGAGGTTCTCTATCTAGAAGATGAAATAGATGGTGGGCTACTGTATTTGTCGTATTTTTCGAAGTTATCAACTTTAGATGATAAGGTAGAAGGCATTCTCTCCGTCGCTGATATGTTCGACACTCCTATAATTATCAAAAAATGTGAAAAGTTTTTGATTGAAAATGCGGAAATGGAATTGAAAAAAAGTTAGAATTAGCTGGAAAGTATAGACTGGAAGAGTTGAAAGTGAGTGTAGGAAAAAAGAATTTAAAACTGAACAGTGCATTGACTTTTACAGAAACTCTGCCTGGATCAAATCAAATCAAAAGAGGATATTCGTTCGGTTGTTCCAGAGGATCCCAAGGGAATGGACAATGAAATTCTTGCAGAGCTATTCAAAAAATCTCTAGCTTTCAATTGAATTTGTATTTTTTATTCGACACTTTTTGATAATTTCATAAGTCCTAAAAATTTTTATTTTTTTTTCAGTCGAAATTCGCCATTTTCATTGCTAGCTCTTAAACTAGTTTTCGGAAAAATAATTGTTCATTTAAAGGTGGGGGGACATGAAAAAAATAATGTTCTCGAAATTCCTTTCAAATATGTCCCTCGAGGAGTTGAACTCGTGAGGGCGATGATTGAGGGTGCGGCGCCGCTACCGACTGAGCCACGCGGGCAAAGAGAAAGCGGACGCCCCATTGCATACATAAAGGCAAGGACGACAGCTGTACGCAGAGTGACATTAAGCGTTGTACACCGTGACGGTAGAATGCATACTCTAGCTACAAAAAAACTACGTAAAATCTCCTGTCCCCCTTTAAGTTTTCAGTATTTTGGGATTCCTGAATTTTCAATTTTCTAAACTCCGAAATTATTGAATTTTTTCATTTTTTCATTTAAAAATTGGTTTCAATTTATTTCTTTTGTGAAAGTTGTATCTTTTTGAAAAATTTCAAATAAATGCTTTTTAAATTCAGATTTTTTAATGTCCCAATTAAACCAACTGATTCTTCCCCATTTTTTTTAAATAGTGCAAGTTTCCCATCGGAAATTCAGTGTAAAAGGTTCCGCTTGCCTCAGAAATTTTCTTTCTCTAGACTCTCTCACTTTTCTATGATATTTCCTCCAGTTGGCGCCAACTGACACTATACGAAAAGGACCACTCCTCTCTCAATTTTCGTTCTTCTCGAAAATTTTTCTCTTTATCTCTGGCACTCTCTTCTCTCTCACCGATTGCTCCTTCATACCCGGAGCATTTCTATACTTTTCCATGGCTCTGTGTGTTTTAAGAGCCTAAATTTGCATCTGATTTTTTTGAAAATTCTGTATATTTCCTAATATCTGGTACTTTTACTGTGATATTCTGAATTTTTGGTCTCCAAATAAAGGTGAGCAATTAAATCTAGGTCATAAACTGGAAATCAATTTTTTTAATTTCAGAATTCTTCAAATTACTGAACTCCTTTTTAATTGGATACTTTATTGGTGCATCGACCAAACCTGGTTGGGGAGGAGAAGGATAGGAGGTCAGTTAAATTTTTGAAATTTTGAAAATTCGTAAATTCGAAAATTCAAAAATTGAAATTCAGAAATTTAGAAACTCTCAAAAATTCGAAAATTGAAATTCAGAAATTTAGAAACTCTGAGAGATTCTGAAATTCTGAAATTCTGAAATTCTGAAATTTTGAAATTCTGAAATTCTGAGATGCTGAGATCCTGAGATTCTGAGATTCTGAAATTCTGAGATTCTGAGATTCTGAAATTCTGAAATTCTGAAATTCTGAAATTCTGAAATTCTGTTTTTCAAACAAAAAAAAGTTTCAGCCATGCAAAAAATGATTTTTCAGACAGTAGACTGATGACGGAGTTCAAATAAAGTTTGAAAAAAAAGTGAGTGGTAATTTTCAAATTTGATAAAAAATTTAAAATTATGAATTTTCAGGAAATGCTACCTTTTTTCCTGTCCGAAATTTTGGAGATAACGCTGTTCCAGACCTTTTCAAACTAATTTTTTTGTGAAATTCAAAAATAATATTCATTTTTATTTTCAGCTTTGAGAATGAGACTGTATATGCGGTTGATAATTGTTAGATTTAGTTTTTTTGTTTGAAAAAATAAAGAAATTTCCAATCTCGAATAGTTTTGTTTTTGTTCGGATTTTTCAGAGACAAGAAAACACTTGCATTGGGCACGTTTATGCTCATTTTGAAGCGAAAAAATATTATCGGAAGAAGATGCTCTTATAGCTGTTGATACGATCCTCCTTGTTTTGCAGACTTTAGCTGGGCGGTCAGATTGTTGAAGAATGAAACTGAAAATAAGTGGAATGAACCGATGAATTGAATTTGGCGTTCTTACTTGTATCGTCCAGCTCTTTGCCTGTGGCCCTTAATTTAACTTCATTTTGAGAGAAGTCAATGCATCCACTCTCGTCACGATGCTTCATCTCAATTGATAATTTTTCATTATTGATTCCATCCTTCTTGACGGCGGTGCAATGGAGAACGTTGCTTCATCTGAAAGTATTCGATGTAGGCGATTTTCATTTCAGATTTTTCAAATAAAACTCACTTGTCACGTCATCTGTTGGAATCTTTCAATTCTTCCAACCAACAACTCCAACTTAGCAATAAGAAACTCGTCTTTTTCATCTCTTTTTATGACTAATACACAAAAATATACTTCGAATTTTAGAATTAGCAATGAAAAGCGTAGAATATTATTCCTCATCTCTATTTCGTTCATTAAAACCAGTTTCTTCTTGCTTCTAAAATTCTAAAATTCTAAAATTCTAAAATTCTAAAATTCTAAAATTCTAAAATTCTAAAATTCTAAAATTCTAAAATTCTAAAATTCTAAAATTCTAAAATTCTAAAATTCTAAAATTCTAAAATTCTAAAATTCTAAAATTCTGAAATTTTCTGAATTTTAGAAATTCTATACATCGGATTGAAGAACCGAGAGATTCTACCACAACACTTGAGTAGACCCGATAAGGGAGGACAACAGCACTTCATTCTGACAGCTCCGGAAACCTTCTACACCATCGTCAGTGATGAAAACGGAGTGGCGGACACAGGAGCCTCAGCAGGAAGATATGTCAGCAGTCACACAATGTGGACTGCACTTCTGGAACGATACCAATGTACCCCTCGTAATAGTTCTGTAGATATATAGTGGCTATGCCAGCATCAACTGCCCATGTGGAGAGGACTTTTTCTACTGTTTTTCATAAACGCAGTTCTCGTCGACACATCATGATATCTAACACCCTGGCAGCACATCTGAGGTACTTACCACTTTTTCCAATATGTCTATCCATAATTACCATCTTTTCCAGCATCCGTATAAAAATGCGGGGTTTCCGCGCTTTCGATCCACACCATTTCCTGCGCCATTGGATACGTACCCACGCATATTTAGCGATATTCCTTGAAAAATCAAAGCTGCAACAGTTCATCAAGGAGTGGATTTAAAACTTCTAAAAAATTTTTACCCCCGAATTAATTTTTTTTAAATTTAAATAAACTAATTTTTATGGAATTGATAACAAAGGAATAAATGCGATCTTGAGAGTCATTGTGAAGCTTAAAAAGTCGGAAATTAGATATTCCATCAATCGAAACGTTTGGATGAATTCCGAAGGCATCAGAATGAGTTATTCAGAATATACAAGTACCCGCCAGCCATCTGGTGAGTTTGTTCGACGGGTCCCTCTTATCTTTGTTCTCTTGGCATAGGGGACCCCCCACAGCTGACCTTTCTCTTCGCCTCCCTCCGATTTCCCTTTCCATTCATTCATTTGCTATTAATCCACTTTCTCCAAGACGTCGTGTGTAGACGTCATTCAAATGATTTTCCTCAAATTTCTACATTATTGTTTATGACTTCGTGTGTTTTAGAAGTCTATTTTCTAAATTATTTTTTTTTAATATTTGAAGCTATTATTTTCTTGGTTTGTTGGTAAGTAATTGGGCTTTTTTTGCAAAAAAAAAAAACAATGCGAAAAAAGAAAATGAGAAAAATCTTGGGGACCTCTGTACTCGAATTTTTTCCTGTTTTTTTTAATTCCAAAGTTAAAACAAACGTTTCTAATTAGAAATTTTCTCAAATTTTCAAACCTTTGAATTTTGGAATTTTTTTTGAGTATAGTTAAACGTATTCTTACAGAAGTGGACCTTACTTTGCAAACAACTGACAACGGCAAGACCAACACCAACAGTTCCTACAACCACATAACGCGTCGTAGACGACCAAAGATCTAGTGTCAACCAAGAGGAGGAGCGGCGCCAGGAGCAAGTACAACCCATCAATCAAGAAGCTGATACCGAGAAGAAAACAGGAGAATGATAAGGTCAAGCGGGGGAAGAGATGAGATGAGTGTAATCAGGAAAGGACCATGGAGAAGAAGAGACGGAGGATGAGAAGCTGGACCAGGAAGCAGTATAAAAGAAATGAGATATGAACTAAATGCATCCTTTTCACTGGATTAACGGTTATACCACATTGTCCCTGAATAAGATTCCCAATACATATTACCAGATCTAAAATACAAGAATAAGCGTATTATTTCTATTTTTGTTAGCCACCGATCCGCACATAACGGGTGTCGTCTATGTGGAGAAACGTCCCACATGGCTTGAAGCTGTTTCTGGAGGACAGCTAAGATAAGAAGAATATTAGTCAGAGAGCTAGAATTGTGTCCTATTTGTCTCAATGAGAATAACCAAAGCGAAGATGAATGTAGAATGAATAACCGAGAGAATAGGAAAAGATGCAATAGGTGTAGGGAAGGTCCGGCACACTCGTGAGGAAGATAAAGACGAGTATACAACATTCTCAGTCAATGCAGTTCGAATGACAGAGATCAACGCAGTTTCTGCAACACGCATACCACACATCGACGTTGATTTAGACGGAGAAAAAAACATTTCAAATTGAAGCCTTGTTCGATTCAGGCTCTCTTTCTTTTATTATTATTCTCTATTCAATTTTGTTTCTTTTATTGCTTTATCTCTCATTTTTGTTATCTTTAGTTGTATTCTTTTTCTATATTTTAATTCTTTTCCTTATAATAAATTTGTAACTATCTCGACGATTGTGTTCTGTTAATTGAAAAATGTAATATTGAAAAATAGTTGCAGAATTTCTGAATTCCTAGATTTTTTTACAAAAAAAAATTGAAACGAAAATCCCTAAAAATCCAAAAAAGTCTAAAATCCAAACCAAAATAATTGAGGATGAAACTGGACAATGTAATTTCTTTGTAGTTCAAAAATGGTTCCAAGAGAAACAAGCTGAACTACGCGAAAAAATGTCCGGGTAATATGAAAAAGAGCAGGAGGAAACCAGGTACTGTATAATCGTATTATTTTTTCGGAATTATAATAGAAGCTGAATTTTTTGAGATTATCGGAAGAAAACATGACAAGCCGTTGATCGATTCCTTGTTTGAGTTCATTATGTTTTTCTTATGCTCAATTGAAAATAGAAAACTTTGAAAATTCAAATCGCTAGTTTTTCGAGCTTCAGAATACGACCAAACATGCTTAGACTCTCTCAAATTTGGGTCAGGAATTTCAACAGCAGATAAGATTCATATCCATGTTAAAACAAATAAAATGATTGGATTTCCAAGAGAATAATTAAGAAGTTTTGGAGAGAACATGAAACAATTTTCGGATGTTACATTGAAAGTAAATGAGCGAAAATTCCATTTTCTGTAATTGGTAAGTCTTTCTTTTTCCAGTTTTTATTCCAATCTTTTTGACTTTTTAGTACCTATCTCCTCACTCTCCTTATTTTGTCGCTCTATTTTTGGGAAAATTTCAAGGGCCGGAAAAATCATGAAAGATGATTGAAAGATGTCGATCCACAGGACTTCCAGTACTATCTGGAGGTCCTGTGTGGAGAAAATGGCTTGATGGTGGGTTACTGTACTTATCGCATATTTAAGAATGAGCAATTTCAGATGATACTGTCCAAGGAATTTTATCAGTGGCTGATATGTTCGACACTCCCTTGATTGTCAAGAAATGTGAGGAATTTCTGGTTGAGAAATCAAACATTGAACTGAAAAAGAAGTTGGAACTGGCTGGAAATTATAGATTGGAAGAGCTGAAAATGAGTTTTAGAAAAATAATTCCAATCTGAGCAATAACTTTTTCTCAGACACCGTCTATGGATCAAATCAAGTCAAGAGCGGTTTCTCAAGAAATTTGCAACATTTTGAGCTCCATATTGCCTATATTTGGTCGCTTTTGGTTTTTGACCGCCTGCGGTCGAGGCGGTCGAAAATCGAAAGTGACCAAATAGGCAATTTGAGGCTCAAAACGTCAGAAATTTCATGAAAAATTCAAAATAGCAGTTACCACTGTTTTTAACCTGATTTGGGCCAAATTTGGGCACACACGTGTGTGAGCTTTGAAATGAGCCGCTCTCATACTGTCTCGGGAGATGTCGAGACGACGTACTTTGCAAACGCCGGAAAGCCTCGGATCAGGGCGCACGACTGTTCTTTCGGTGTTTTTATCATCTTCACAAACTGTCCAAACTTTTCACATGCAGGCACCAAGATTCAACTACCGTATCATATCAAGACGTGGCTTCAAAGCGTTCGTATGAACAAACATGGATCTCTCGAGTTCTGGATTTGAACTGGTCCAGTCGTTTTTCGCTGGTTTTCTGGCTTCCAAATCAGATTTTTAGCGACATTGTGAGTGTTTGGAAATCGAAAACTGCTTCAAAATGCTGAAAAAATAAGAAAATCTGAAAATATTTTTTAAAAAATTTTTGGAAAAAATCCACTTTCTAAACATTTTCATGACCTAAAAACTTGTTTACCAAGGTCCACACAAAAATCAAAAAATTTTTAACCTGAGAAAAATTGAACTTTTGACCTTGTGGACCGGAAATTTTGGCCTCAAAACCCACTGAGCCATTTGGGCCACTTTTGTGAAAATCGCTGTTTTTGACGGTTTTCTGAGGTTTTCAACCGTTTTTTATGTAAATTTTGATTTTTAGAAACATTCTGAGTGTTAGGAATTCGAAAACTGCTTTAAAATGCTGAAAAAAAGAAAATCTAGAAAATATTTTTTTTACATTTTCATGACCTAAAAACTAGTTCACCTTCACTAGTCATTCTTCAAAGTCAATTTTTTATTTATTTTTATATTGAATAAACAATATTATAAATTTTATATGGTTTTCATGAAATTTTTCAGACTCAAATGTGCCCAAAACTATCATTTTTGAAACCAAAATCTTCAAATTCAAAACGTGTCAAAAATGCAAAATGTTTTGACTCGAAAAATCTCTTTAACCACATATTTTGGCTCGTTTTCAAGTACATTTCCAAACTTCTTATGAAATGTCCGTCATTTTGAGCCCCATATTGCCTATATTTGGTCAGTTCAGAATTTCGACCGCCAGCGGTCGCAGCGGTCGAAAACTAAAACTGACCAAATACGGGCAATATGGAGCTCAAAACGTCAGAAATTCTATAAAAAACTCAATAATTTCAGAGCCGTTTGATCTTTTTTTGAAGGAAATCATCTTTTTTGAAGGAAATCGCCTTTGCCGGGCCTTCGCGGGCCCTGCCATAATTTCTTTCAGAATCTATATTTTCGAACCAACTGAATTAAGAATGATAGAGCTCCACAAGTACTACAAAACGGTATTATTTGGAATACTGTATCTTATCGCGAAGGCCCGACAAAGGCCCGGATTACAAGTATGATTTTTTGTATTTTGGATTTTGGCGCCAAACACCATTTCTGCCAAAATCCGGTCAAATCTTGTTGAAAATAGTGGGAATTACCATTTTCAAAGTGTTTAAAAAAATTTCTGACGTTTTGAGCCCCATATCGCGGTCGAAGCGGTCGAAAATCAAAATCAACCAAATGTAGGCATTATAGGTTTCAAAATGACGGGAATTTTATGAGAAACTCAAAGGTAATAATTTCAGAGCAGTTTCGTTTGTTTTCGGTTGACTTTTTAAAATGAGTTTCAGAGAATTTTGGGAGTCAATAGCCTTAAACGCATAGATTCTGCTGAAAATTGGTTTGAAAAAAGTGAAACTTATAAAGTTTTCGAAGTCTTCATCAAATTTCTGATGTTTTAAGCCCCATATTGCCTATATTTGATCAATTTTGCGTTTCTACCGCCGACAGCGGTCGGAGCGGTCGAAAATCAAAGTTGACCAAATATAGGCAACATGGGGCTCAAAATGACGGAAATTTTATGAGAAACTGGAAAATAGTAGTTTCAGGGCAATATGGTAAGTTTTTAGAAAATTAGAACTTTTTTTTCGAATTTTGGATTTTGGCGCCAAAAACCAGAAAGGCCCAAATCCGGCCAAAATTGGTTTAGAAATAGTGAAAGTAACTATTTCCCGAAAATTCATCAAATTTCTGACATTTTGAGCCCCATATCGCCTATATTTGATCAATTTTTTATTTCGACCGCGGTCGAAACGGTCGAAAATCAAAATTCAGTTTTGCCTTTTGGCGCCTAAGACCATAAAGGTCAAAATCCAGCCTAAATCAGTTAAAAATATTGGAGATTGTTATTTTCGAAATTTTCATAAAATTTATGACGGTTTGAGCCCCATATTGTCTATAATTGGTCAATTTTGGTATTCGACCGCTTCGACCGCAGGCGGTCGAAATTCAAAATTGACCAAATATAGGCATTATGGGGCTCAAAATGACGGAAATGTTATGAGAAACTCGAAAAGTTTTACTCCGCTTTCCACAACGATCTTGGATCTGAAAATGATACTTAAAGTGTACAAGAACATAAACACGTATTTTGTACTTCTTGGTATAATTTTCAGAAGTACCATTTTTTTCAAATTTCTAAACTATAACTTGGTTTCCAAAACATTCAAATGACTTCAATTTACCACTACTCATATTTTTTCGTGGCCTTAAAAAACACAAAAATTTAGTCTATTTTGGTTTTCGACCGCTTCGACCGCGGTCGAAATTCAAAATTGACCAAACATAGGTAATATGGGGTTCAAAATGACGGAAATTTAATGAAGACGTCAAAATAATAGTTTTAGACAGTTTGATCATTTTTAGAAAAAATTATGATTTATTGAATTTTGGATTTTTGGCGCCAAAAACCATAAATGTCAAAATCCGGCCGAAATCTAGTTTTTAGAAACGCAAACAATTATTTTTGATGTATTAATCAAATTTTTGTCATTTTTATCCCCAAATTGCTTATATTTGGTCAATTTTGGTTTTCGACCGCTTCGACCGCAGGCGGTCAAAAACCAGAATCGACCAAATATAGGCAATATGGGGCTCAAAATGTGGAAAATTTTATCATAAACTCAAAATTGATAGTTCCAGGCAGTTTGATCATCTGTAGAAAAAATTGTGATTTATTCAGTTTTGCCTTTTGGCGCCAAAGACCATAAAGGTCAAAATCCAGCCTAAATCAGTTAAAAATATTGGAGATTGTTATTTTCGAAATGTTCATAAAATTTATGACGGTTTGAGCCCCATATTGTCTATAATTGGTCAATTTTGGTATTCGACCGCTTCGACCGCAGGCGGTCGAAATTCAAAATTGACCAAATATAGGCAATATGGGGCTCAAAATGTTTCAAATTTCTTGAGAAACTCAAAAATAATAGTTCCAGGCAGTTTGATCCTTTTCAGAAAAAATTAATATTCATTGAATTTTGGATTTTTGGCGCCTTTCGACCGTTTCGACCGCATGTGGTCGAAATTCAAAATTGACCAAATATAGGCAATATGCGGCTCAAAATGTCGGAAATTTTATGAGGAGTTTGAAAATGCACTTGAAAATTGGCCAAAATTTTTAGATAAACAGATTTTTCAAGAGAAAATTTGAAGCATTTTTGAATTTTCAGATATTTTGGCAGTTTAAAGCTACAAACTCACTTTTTTGCTGGTTCTTGGAATCCATTTAGGATTTATAGAATCCCAAAAAAAAATAGAGAATATTAGAAAAAATCAAAAATAGAATATCGGCTAGACTGCCATCCAGAAGGCGGTCGTAGCCTAATCGAAATTTTGGGAAATTCCCAAAAATCGATATATTCTACTTGGGGGTGAGACAATCA